TAGCCCAGCCTGTGGATTAAAACTGCCATCATATTTTCATGGAGATTTAGAGAACAAACAGAAAGTGCTTAACTGTTTTGACCCAGTCCAATTTTAGAACTGTAGAATATGTAAGCAAATGCTAGATATATTTTTAAATATACATATGCATATGTTAAAAAAAAAAAAAAAGAGCTGTTTCTCTTTTTTTTAACATAAGGTCCTAATTATATAACAACTGGATTTTTTTAGTTCAAGACAATGTAGTTCAAGAAAGGAAAAAGTAGCTAATTTGACAGTTCTAGGAAACTTTCAAAATTATTTATTTATGTAAAAAGGCTAGCATTTATCTTTTATAAATTAATTAGTTTTAAATATTCAATTAGATGAATTATTGTAGTCTAATCCCATGGTAATTCAGTCTCCCTTTCTACCAGTATGACAAGTAACTAAAATGGGACGTACCATTTCTGTGAATATCTGTAGCTCAATGTTCTGCTTTGTTTTTCTAGTCAGAGCTTTCATATTAATTTTTTTATAGCAAAAAATGACAGAGGATTTTTTTTACCTGCTACTGTCTTTCATGTTTAGATAGTTCTGGAGTGGTTTCCATTTTTCTCTTTTTCTTGAGTAGTCAGGTGTTGCCCTCTAATAGGAAATTTTAGATCACTTCTAAGAAGTATGTCAAGGACATTAACTTGCTGAAGATGTCAGTTTGTTGCAATGCAGCAAAGATTTTAAAGTCTTTAGTCAGCCTAAAGTCTTTCATCCACTGATACTATTAGGAGTAAGTCACAATACTCTGTAGAGCATTTTTTATATTCACTAGAAGATAGAGCAAATGTTAGAATGGATAAGCAAGCATATTATCCCCCCATCAATGTTTAGCAATATGTTCCTTAATATTTCCATTCTTGTTCTGAGATACGTTTCTACAATGACAGTTTACTATGCTTTACAAAAAGATCATTCTTAATAACAACGACTGGTTTATTCCGTGCGCTACTGTTTAATGATTAAGTACTATTTAGGAGATTTGACAATTTAATGCTTATTTATATCTGTATTTTCAGTATTGAAATGAGTAATAGCATAGAAAGCATCAACTCTTGTTAGTCCGTAATTTTTAAATTCAGGAAAGTCATGAGGTTTTGTATGACTATTAAAACCTAGTAATTTATGTTATCTTTTATTTTTTAAGGAAGATACATGATATCACTGAATTCTATGTGACTACTTTTTTTCTTTGTAGCATGCCTTGTTCTGTAATAGTTAGCTATCTTTTATGTAGGGTGAGTGAGTGCTAGTGGCAACTGAGAGAATTGTAGAGGAGTTGAATAAGATACATATTTCAGCTGCTAGGAAGTGGACGTACCCGTGTTGCATCAACACTGCAAGGTTTTTAAATTGATGTGGAGGAGTCACCAAATCTTATTTTCTGGATGATCATTCTCGTAAATACTCATTTTCAGAAATGTAATCATGAATGCACGATCATATCTCGATGCCCTTCTAAACAGTTCATCTGTGTGGTGACAAGGTGAACTTGGTAAGGGACATGTGTACCTAGCATTTACAGACCTTTCTCTCATACTGTAGTCCAGAAATTTGTGTTAGGTTCCTAAACTCCTTTTGCAGTGCAATGGAAGAGTTCAGGATATGAGAAAGATGCCCAACACAATGAGTTAAGCCAGCTATTGGGTTTTGATTGTAATTTATATATATAAAAAAAATGAGGCTATTATTTTCTAACATAGGATGATAGCTAGTAAAAACATCTAGTAAACTCATCAAAACCAATTCCCTCGTTATACATATTTTTTTACATATTTTTCCTGTTAATGGATGAATTTTATCCACTTACCAGTGGCATCTGTGTATTTTTAAATATTATTTCTGATTTGAACTGTTTTCTGTTACACAGTGCGAATATAATCAAGTTGTTTACATAACGTATATCTATTGAGTAACATCTCCAGCATGTTCCAACAGCGACAGGATTTTCCTGGTTGAAAGGAAACAGACACTTCAAAAATTACCATCTATTTATTTTATTATTGTGTTTCACATAGTACTCTGATTTGCTAATTTATTTTTTTTCTAGAACAGGTGACCTGGAAAGAAAACCAATCAACTATTTGCAATATTCTAATTGTAACTAAACACCAAGACAGATATTGAACTCTTGGGATGTGTTATTTTAACAGTTGGGAGATGAGTATTAAAAATAGGCAGTGGATCGTAGCCGCAGTACTTATGACATTTTTACAAGAGGGCACCAAGAAAGAAATCAGTGATGCAAACATACGTAAAGGCAGAGGTAAAGAGAACCAGGCTAAAAACGAAACCTCGTTTGAGAAGGCACAGAATCACTAAGATGCTACTTTCAGACACTGTGATGGGGAGGAGGAGAATACATAGTGGAATAACTACAGCCAGGTTTTTCAACCTATATTCAGTTGTATTTAATTTTTTAGTCTGCCCTGGGCTTTTCCAGTATAAGTACCTATTTAAACGGCACCAGTTTCAGTTATTAGAGCCCTTTTACCCAACCTTTCTTAAGGTTTTTCCACTAATTCTGGAAGAAAGAACAGATGGGATAGTGCAAAGTCCTTTTTCCAATAATTGCATGGAGATGTCATTGTACAAATACATATTTAGATCCAGAATACAACATAAACATGAAGTCCATTCTGCAATCCTCTTCCAAAATTTATTCCTGTTGAAACTGCCTGTTTCACTTCTGGACACAGAGACTCTCTTGACCTCACTGTTATGAAAGAGCTCATTGTTTCTCCTTCTAAATTAAAAAACCATCCTAGAACGTGCACTTAGATGTAAATTGTTTGACTGTGGTAGTTCATTCAAACACAGGCCTATTTAAAGAGTTTTAAAATCTGCTTTATTGGAACCCTGTGGCTTTTACAGCACATTAGACCTAAATTAAGCAACAGGGAACCTTCTCTCCCTTTATTTCCAACTGTCCTCTCCAGGCCAGGTGGCATGATATTGTCTTTAGAATTATTTATATTTCTCCCTCATTATTTTATCATGTATTTTAACATGACAGATTTCTATCCTGTAGCACTATGCAAGTTGTCAGAGTAATCCTGGATGGAACAGGCAGGGATTTTTGGTAATCAGAAAAATACAGCACGATTTTTGGTTTCAGGTATCCAAGTTTGCTGTCATGAAGTAGGGGATGCATTTTCATATCCTCTTTTTTGAGAATAAATGGAAGCAATTCCTTACAGAGGAACTGATTTTTTTTTATTATTTTTTTTTTGCTTGTCATCTCAGCAAAATACCATATTTTTAGCCAAGCCTAAGTGATGATGGATACCAACTAATAAAGCTAAAACTGTTGTCTGATAGAAATTTTAGTATATTTTAAGATGAAAAGTGATGTCACTCCTTCCTCAATCAGTCTTGAGCACCTCTGAGACTCAGTTCACGTCTTTAAAAATATTTTGCCAGCTGTAATGTTTAGAGACGTCAGACTAGATCATAAGAGCAGTTATTGAGGTGGGCTAAAAGTTTAGCCTGGGGGAGGACAATGGTGCACCCCAGCGATACTGTGTGATATCCTCTGTTAGGAGAGCAAGCTCAAGGTGTGGTTTGGTGTAGAATAAACCCAAATAAAGGTTGTTCTCCTGTATTTGTGTTGTACCTGTGTGAAGAGGAAGCCATCTATAGATATAGCCTGGGCTGAGCTGGGTGGCAGCTTTTACTACCTGCTTAACCGTCCCTGTGCAGAAGGGTGTTCAGCACTGGTGGGGCTTGGACGGAGAAGCTGTGCAGGAGGCTGGAGGGCAGCTGTGGGGCCAGGGGAGCCACTGACTCTTCCTGCAACTGCTTCTTGAAAATAAAACTCCTAAAAATCCTGTAACTCACTGATACCAATTACCACTGTTGGTTGTAGTATGAATTATGGAAACAATCTGGCTGGTATTCGGTAACAACCTGAGGATCTGAGGGCACCTTACTGTGCTCTCAGAATGCCTCTGCAGGGAGACGTCTTGCTCATGGGTCACTGGCAGCCACTGGCACCATTCCTCCTAATTTGTGGTTTCCCTGAAGACTAGGGGAGGGGTGGCACGTGGCTCCTCCATAGCGGGAGGTGGCTCTGGGCAAGCGCTGCAGAAGAACTGCAAGCACACAGGGACATTCAGCTCAGCCAGAGAGGATGTCCTTAATTTTCACCTGCATCTGGGGTTAGGTAACTGCTTAGTGCCAGTGTTCAGATCCCAGTTTTGGATATGAATGCCTAGAAAGGTGCCTCATTACTCTTATAATTCTTACATTGCTGATGTGAGTGGGATTGCATAGGCGGTGGAGCCAAACTACAATAGGTTTGGTCATAACCGTGTTTGAATTTCATGACTTTTACTTTGAAATGGCATACTTAAATTCTCATTATTATTATACGAATTTATATTATATCATATCTCTTTGTTTATTAGTAAGGCATAGTAAATGATTGCAAATTCAACTTCAGGTATTAGTAACCTGAAATTTGATTCCCTTGTTCTCATTCCTTTCTGAATTCAACCGGGGCCTAGTAGCTGCAGGATAAAACACTCCATGCAAATTCCAGCACATCTTTTAATAATACTATAACACGAGTGTGAGGCCTGACCACCTCAGTACAGAACTGTGGTTAGAAATCTCTAATAAATCTTAGCCAAAGATCTGCTGTGCAATACCATCATAACTAAACATAGTATACAGACTGACAACTGTTTTACGATTTCTAATTAATGATTTGACTTGTCCCAAATGAATTCAGAGCATTAGTACCTAGAAAAAAATTCTTGTATTCTATCAAATGTGTTGATATGAAATAACTGAGGTAAGTAAACATGATACTTCATAACGTTTTATGTGGATGTTTTGAGTGTTCTTTGTAATTTTTATGATTTTAAAAAGGTAACTTGCAAAATCATCCTGTGTGTGTATGATTGTACTTATGTACATGTTTGCAGGGGAAATCTTCATGGTGTTTATCTTTTGTTTTGCAGACAAAACCTGTTGCATTTGCAGTTCGGACAAATGTTGGGTACAGTGCAGCTCACGATGACGATGTTCCAGTCCCAGGCATGGCCATCTCATTTGAGGCTAAAGATTTTCTTCATGTTAAAGAAGTAAGTAAAACTAGAGGAGTAAGTGAATCTCTCTTCAAGGGTCTATTTGAGTAATTGTGCTACTATTTCTTCACGTTAAGATAACCCTTCCCTTGGTCAAAGCACTATACAACTGTTATATAAGTAAGGTAACGCTACATAAGGAATTGAATGTTCTTTGAAATACTGTTCTCATAAAGCAATGGCACAAATTCCTTACAATCAAATTAATAAAGCTTGGAAAGCAAGTGCTTTTCTTCTCTAGTAATTGTCGCTTACTTGGAGGTTTAAAAATCTCCCTCCACATATTCAATGATACAATATCTGTGGGTTTTACCACTCTAGCACTCTGAGGATTCATTGTGAGTCGGCAGTACAGTGTTGATTCTGTTTTATTTGTGACTTAATTTAAAAAAAAAAAAAAAACAAATCCTCAGGTCTCCTTTTTTACACTGAAGTTTCTTCCCTGGCACAGACAATATATTGTTGTTAACAGTTACATACTGAAAAACTGACGTGATAATTTTCAAGATGCACATAGCAACTGCCAAAAAAGTGCTTTGCGTTTGCTGTGTTGGCTTTCTTTTCCTGTAGTTTGGCTTTGAAAATTTTAAAGTTTTACAGTCTTATTCTTTCTCTGCTCCTTGCAAGACAATCCAAAGAAATAGCTTGGTTACTTTCCCATACAAGACTTCCTAAGCAGCCTGCTGCTCCCTTCTGAATGATTCCCTCATTTTATGAGATTTCCCGGCTTCTGGTCATATTCTATTGTGTTTTGTCAAAAAAAAAAAAAAAAAAAAAAAAAAGTCCACCTGGAAAAGGAAATTTATAGCAGAAGAAAGAGAAAGTTAGCTTAAGGATGAGAGCAACTTAGCTGTACATTTGAAATGATACCTTTGCCCCATTTTAGATTATTGAAAGATCCCTCAGTAGTTATGATTGATGATGCACGGTGATTCTGCTAGTGCAGGTGCTTTGCAGAAGCAAGAAAGATTCCTAATACACAGATAGAAATACGGGTGAACAGAGACTAAGGAAACACAAGAAATGGACTTTTAGTGCCTTCATACTGATGAATGACAATCATAATTTTCCATATATATTAAACACACAAAAAAGGGAGAATTTGGATTCAAACTGTATATAGTGAAGAAAATGTTTTCTGTCTGATGATAGTTCAAAAGAATTGCTCTGCTCTGTCTTGTGACAAAAGCAAGGATGAGCAGGTACAGAAGCCAAAAGAAAACCATCAGTATTCTCAGGTGAGTCTGGAAGCACTGGAAAATACAGCTCAGTTTGGTTAGATTAAATGATTTTGTATAGTCATCTATTCCATCTGCATTTCAAATGAGCTGGTAATCTCAGACTTCATGTCAAATCTTTCCCCTGTTTCCATATGAACCAGAAACACAGTGCTAGCAGATTTTCTTTTATAATTTATGCTTTTTTCCTCATAGACTCAGATGTAAATATGCATGGGAGTTAATGAGGAAGAAGAAGTTTCCTGAACTTTTCTGGATCTCCAGAAATGTCTTGAAAGGGTGCTTAGCTCAGCTGAGCTGTTATATTGTCTGTGGCTGCATGTAGCACTGAGGAATGGAAAAATAAAATGTTCTTGCAGCTTCAGATGTAACAGAACAGGCACTCTGCACTAATTGCCATTAAAAATACCTCATTTTCTCTCTCAGCAGTTCAGGAAAGTTGACTGCCTAGCAGTGCTAGGCCAGAGCTGGGTTGTGAAAGGGCCCTTGTGCCAAGGCCAGGTGAACCCCTGGGATGGAGAGATGGGAAGAGACCTCATGGAGCCAGCTTGGACTCACTGGTCCTGCGTTTGGCAGTGGCTGTTCATCTGGGTGGTCAAACCTTTTTGGGAGGGTACCCGGAGCAGTGGGCCTTCCCTGCACAGCTGTGTCCTCCTCCTCCATCTTCCATGGCTGTGCCTTGCTCGCTCACCAGGGCTCTGTAACCCACCAGATATTGCTCCTTCAGTAATTTTGGTGCTCCCTACAGTTAATGTTGGGAGAACTGAAATGTCCAAAATTTAATTATTTATGCAAATGAAAAGTAAAAATGTATTTGACTCTCAAATGCAGTGTTGCTTCTATATTTTTTTTTGTATTGCGGCTTACCAGTACCTGAAGGGGCCTACAGGAAAGATGGTGAGGGACTGTTTACAAGGACATGGAGGGATAGGACACGGGGTAATCGGTTTAAACTAAAAGAAGGTCGATTTAGATTAGATGTTAGAAAGAAATTCTGTACTGTGAGGGTGGTGAGGCACTGGAACAGGTTGCCCAGAGAGGTTGTGGATGCCCCCGCCCCGACAGTGTTCAAGGCCAGGTTGGATGGGGCTTTGGGCAACGTGGTCTAGTGGAGGGTGTCCCTGCCCATGGCAGGGGGGTTGGAACTAGATGATCTTTAAGGTCCCTTCCAACCCAAACCATTCTATGGTTCTATGATTCTATTCCCAACTGGTTGCTAGAAATAAAGAATCTCCAATAACTTTTGCTTGCATAGTAATGCCGTATTGGATCAATGCTGTCTTCTTGTCTGTGAGTGTTCTCCATTTGTGCTGCTGAGAGGGCTCAAACAAGAAAAACCTCAGTTCCAAATGTACATGGGCAATGGTGAAAAGTATTGCAGTGATAGTATGAGGGAAATTTATTTTCATTATTAGTTTACATTCATTAAAACTCAGTACATAAAAAGATGAAGGATGCCTTCCTGCATGAAGAAATATGCACTGCATCATAGTCGCTCCTGAATCTTTTGGGGCTTTAATGCATGGCCATAATTCTGCTTTGCATTTAATTCATATTTGTGTTTTCCTTGGCGCTCCCAGCACAGGTGAATTACAGAGAATCACTCGCCCAGCCCAACACCTTGAGAGCTGGACACCTCACTACCAAGATTTCCATTACTGCTTTTTCAAATTAGAAAGTATGATGTGTGGTATTAGGTACTCATAAAATTGTCTTATCCTCCTTTTCATGTACTGACAGAGCATTTAGCTTTGAGACTTTGCAGAAGTGAATTCCACCTGCTTTAATTTTTATATGAAGAAAAAGTTCCTATTGATTTAACATTTCTATCAATTATAATAAACTTTATGTTGTTGTGTAGTAGTCTGTTTTACTGTAGGACAGCATAAAAAAAGTAGTGGCTGTTCAGATTTTAATTTAGTGCTGTTTTTTAAGTTTCTACCTCTGTTTTACCAATTTAATGGTACTACTTCTGCAGACTTCATGTATACCATAGAGCAGTTCCATATAATGGCAACCTCCATTGGCTCAATTGCTCTAGTCTTCCTCCACCTATATTATTGTACAACATAACATACTTTAAATGCACATACATACCTTTAGTTAGCATTTTGCAATGTGAGGTTATGATTTTAATAGTATGTTTCAGTCTAATACAGCTTTGAGAAGCTGCTATTCCAGATTAGCTCCCTATTAAATGTTGGTATTCTTACTCTTAAAGGCATCCCATTGGATGAATGTTATAGATCCCCTTGTATTTTATGAGGTTAAAAGTGCATTTATTTCAATCTTTATTTTTTTGTTAGCTCAATATCTCAGTGTTGGTTTCAAGCATCACAACATTTCTATGGTAGCCAAAATGAAAGATAATACTGCAATTTAGGTTGCATATCATTGATTCACTAACATTGTATTCTCAGTGAAATTAATTCCTTTTTATGGGAGCCCACACATTATACATGTTTTACTCTTAACTGTACACTTATTAACTACTTATTAAATAATTAAACCTGCTCTATAATATCTACATTCATAGCTTCATATTCAAGAAGGCAACTTCTTTTCCCATGCAGAAGTTCTTTTACAGTTTCACAAATAATCCCAATTATCCAAAATTCATATTTGACAGTAGTAATTCCCCTGGAACTCCTAGAATATTGCATGTGGGGCCATACATAACAGTGACCAATGCTCATCCAAAAATGGTGGATAAATAATAAAGGAAAAAGCAAATAGTTCTGCTTTACAGACCTCTGCAAAACAAACAAAACCCCCTATCTGTGTATGAATAAATATTAAATTAGAGTAGTCATAATCTCATATTTCATATAGCTGAAATTCAGTTAATTAATTAGATTATCTTGTGCATTTGTAGAATTGTAAGGTTTTTTAGTTATCCAAAAATATCTATTCCTTGTGGATCTATCACTGTACGTTTAAGACGCAGACCACATGGGCTGTATGCAGTACAGCATATATAAGCAGCAGAGTGTAGTCGTATTTCAGAGGGTTTTAGTAGGTTCAGAGAAGCGGGGGAGTTTGAGAAGTAGTATTTTTTTATTTTATATTCAGAGAAATGAATATAATGGAATAAGAAAAATAGATTATTACAGAGCTGTAAAAAGCACTGCAGTGGGTAGGAGCAGATAAGAAGAAATCTCTGGTGTCCACCAAGGAGAAACATCAAGGGAGAACAAAAGCAGCTCTCATGTATGAGGAGAAAAGACTGAGAAGCAGAAAAAAATAAAGATGGTGAAATGGGTGGAAATAACAGACAAGGAGAGTCATGAAGTCTATGAAGGAGGTTTCTGCTTAAGTACTGTAGCATTTTAATAATTTGCAAGGTATAATTATTTTAATGTATTTCTGAATATTACCACAATTCTTCATTGCCATAATAACATAGTACAGTGATTAACTGCAGGGAAGAGTTACATAAAATGGCTTAGCTGCAAATTAAAAATAATAACAAAATGATCCCAAATACGGTAATTTCTTAGTACATGACCTGGGGTTTTTTTTGGTTTTTTTTCTTAATCTGTAGAAATTTAATAATGACTGGTGGATAGGACGGTTGGTAAAAGAAGGCTGTGAAATAGGATTCATACCAAGCCCAGTCAAACTAGAAAACATGAGGCTGCAGCATGAACAAAAGGCCAAACAAGGAAAATTCTACTCCAGGTAATAACAATAAATCATTAAAAACAGTAGCATTGACTGTGACACAACTTGAAAGTTAATGCTGTATATGCTATAGTTCTGTTTAATTACTGTAATTGGCAGCTGCTAATATTTTGCATCAATGAAGGAAGTAATATTTATGTATATTATTAGTGTCATTTCCATTTGAGAAAGAAAGTAGATATTTAGACTGGTGGTCTGTGGTGGCCTCCGATGGGTATTATTCCATTTTATTTTCATAAAATATTTGCAAATATACATTGCAGTTAGTGGATTTACTATATGCAAGCACAATTTTTGATTTAAAAAAAATCAATCATCTCCCTAAATTCTTTAGCATTTGTTACTTGTTTTCATGATCTTGCAATTTCTGAACACTTTTAAAGCTGATATGAGAAATTACAGCAAATGTTAAGATGAATTTATTTGTAATCTGAAGCCAGTGCCTGTTGGGTGACTCTTAGGGAAAAAAGTGCTTTGGTCTGTCAAATTCATTGCCTACAAATACAGCTTTTAAGAATACTGCACTTTAATGATGGAAGTTTCATGTCAAGTCATTTGTTGTCTCTGACTATAGCCATCATTACATAAAAAAAACCCATTCAGTATCTAAATATATTGAACAATACTGCAACATGGTAATAATGTCATCTTTACCGTAGAATTCTTAATAAAGTAGTTTTCCAGTAAATATTAACACATGTGGATGTAAACACCATTTGCTTCCGTTTGGGTATGCAGGAAACAAATATTTCCAGTATGTCTGAGTGGGATGGACCTGGAATTGAGAAAACAGCTGGGAAACATTTGGGAAGCCGGGAAGGTTTTCCTACTTCGTTAGGAAGGGCAGCAGTGTTTGAAGAGCGTGTCCACGCTAGGAGGAGACCAGGGTGCTGCAGTGCTCAGCTGCATTCGCCAGCTGTGAAATGCCTTTCCTATGAGTGTGCTGTCCTCAGCAGGGGGATGTCGGGCTCCTTTGTCCTCTCGTGACGCTTCTGATATACAGCCAGATCCGACCCAGCGATTAGGTCCCTTTCCAAATTGTAAAGGCTTCCATTCTCCAGAACTTCTCACTGGAGATAACACTGTCCTACGCCACAAATGCATTTACTTAGTGTTTATTAATATTTTAAGATGGAGAAAGTGGAAACTAGTACTATCACATGAATTATTTGAAGAGCATAATAGTCTTTCTTACATTCTTTTCAGTACTTTTCTCATTATGGTAACTGAAATAAAATAACTAAAAATATTGTTTCATTTTTCACAACTTGGATAGGTTTTCACAGAGCAGAATTTGACAAAACCCTAGACTGCTTTATCTTCGTTGGAAAGACTTTTTTTTCCCAAGTGATACCTTGTATTGAGACAACAAAAGAATTTATACTTTAATTAAATTGAAAAGATGTTACGCAAACACACTATCATTTTCATTAGGGAGCTATCAATAACTCTTCTGTTAAAGGAAACAGATATGCTCACTGGCTTAAGAATTAGTCTTAGTAATGAGTAGTAATATTAATAATTATAATTCAGTAGCCATATTAATAATTGGATTGCATTAAGATCATGAGGTAGTGAGAGCATATGCAGCAGAATGAAGTTGCATGGCAAAACAAGGAGCATGATTGATGCTTGCAGTTTCCCAGTCTTCAAAATGTACACACATTTTGTATAAGATGTATATTTTATACCACTGCCAGAAATAGTTTGTCTCTCAGCTAGCAGCTCATTTAGAAGGCAGGTAATAAATAAACTAGAATAAATACTGAGAAAGCTATGAAACTTCCAACTAATTTGTTGCTCTACTCCAGTAAATCAGGAGGAAACTCTTCATCCAGTTTGGGTGACATCGTTCCTAGTTCCAGAAAATCGACGCCTCCATCATCTGGTGAGTAGGTCATGAACCCTTCAGTTTACAGGCTCATGCACCTAATCCGTTAATATTTATATACATTTAGTCCTATTTTTCTTATTCCCTGTACTTCATAGGTGTAAGGTTGGGTGGTTGCGTTGCCCTCTAAGGCTGGTTTGGATAGGTTTGAAGTAATGGGGTCGATGCCGGCAAGATCAGGCAATGTTAACAATCCACAAAATTCCCCCTTTGCTTTTAGCATGTGTCGTGGTTTTGCCCCAGCCGGCAGCTGAGCACCACGCAGATGCTCACTCACTCCCCCCACACCGGATAGGGGGGAGGAATGGCAACATTAAAAGGAGACGATAAAGAAAATTTAATAGGTAATGCAAAAGCCACGCACACAAGCAAAGCAAAGCAAGGAATTCATTCACTGCTTCACATGGGCAGGCAGGTGTTCAGCCATCCCCAGGAAAGCAGGGCTCCATCACATGTAACGGCGACTTGGGAAGACAAACCCCATCACTCTGAATGCCACCGCCCCCTCCCCACCACTCTTCCTCTTCCCCAAGCTCCTTGTAAACTGAGCATGACATCATATGTTATGGACTATCCCTGTGGTCAGCTGGGGTCAGCTGTCCCAGCTGTGTTCCCTCCCAACTCCTTGTGCACCCCCAGGCCACTCACTGGTGGGGTGGTGTGAGAAGCAGCAAAAACCTTGGCTCTGTGTAAGCACTGCTCAGCAACAACAGGTCTATATAACAAAAACATCGCTATAGTATGAGCCCTGCTTCCAGCACAAATCCAAAACATAGCCCCATGCTAGCTACTGTGAAGAAAATTTACCCTCTCGGCTGAAACCAGGACACCATGGTGTTTTGTAGCAAAGACACAATAAAATGATGAGGCTGCATTGCAGTAGGATAGTAAGAAATTTGGTCTGGTCTGAGCACTC